TATCAACCCTATTCCAGGCTTGTATGCGACAATGGGGCACCTTAATCAGTCACTATCCGATTGTCTATAATCTAGAAATTTGCTGTACCAAAATTCTATAAAGCTATATTTTTAAGAGCAAACATGACGGGCGCTCCTCCGCCAAAAATCAATTTTACATTTGAGGCAGTTAAAAAAAATGTAAAAAAAAATTGTAAAAAAAAATAGTTTAGGCCAATCGTTCTAAAAATGAACCAAGAATGATGGTAACCCGCGAAAAACTTATATTTTTAAAGAAAAACAACAAAAATTTCAACTTTTCAACAAATTTAATTTTTTGGCTCTTTAGCGTCTTTCTATAACAAATATCTTAACTATTTTCTAAATAACTTTTTTTCAAAAAGATTACCAATTTTAAACAGGACCGAAGATTAACATAGTTTTCATTCCGATACTAACTCTATTAAAACAATGATACCAGTGAATATGGCAACGCTGCTAGTCTATGAAGCCCGTGGTTAAAACGGTAGCTGCTGTTCAGTTAAATTTGTTAATTCCTGTGTCGAAAAATAGGTAGTTGTTCTTGAAGAGGTGCGAAATTATTGTGATCGTCTTAGTTTGTTGTTGAGGCGTTGTTAGGTTTTTGTTTAATTTAGTTTTTAGTTAATTTATGAAATGAAAAATTCTGTAAGGCAAAAATGCATAGCTGACAAATTTCTATTTTATTTGTTTGCTGCCAGAGTTAGTAAATCCTAGAGAAATACGACATGTGCCAATTAGGGAAAAGAGATCGTCAAGAATTTTGCCCGATTAAAAAAATGTGTAATATACAGGGTGTTTCTAAATAAATGCGACAAAATTCAGGAGCTGTTTGCTCGTATGAAATTAAGATGGGTTTTTCCTATAACACAATTTCCTCAGCCCACCCCTTTTCGAGATATCACCCTTAAAATGTGGTGAGTTTTTATTTTTTTTCTAAAATTTCAGTAAAGCTAGAAATTTGAAATTCTGTAATCACAAAGGACTAACCACGGATATTTTTTCAATATTTCTGTTACAACATAGGGGGGTGAAATTAGCAACACTTACTTTATTTCGTATTAAAACTTTTTTTTCAGATGAACTTTTATGAAATAAAATTATAACTTGAAATTATTGTTTTAATTTTTTTTATTCTTGAATTTTTTTTCCAAAACTAATAGCTTCAGAGAAAAAAAATTAACACCCTAATTTATCATTTTTTTTTTAATAAATTGAGTGGAAAACAGTTTTTTTTTTCTATGACGGTATTGGTTTTGGGAAAAAATTTTTAAATAAAACAAGTATTTTAAGTTACAAAATTATTTCATAAAACTTCATCTCGAAAAAAAGTTTTGATATGAAATAAAGTAAGGGTTGCTAATTTCACCCCCCTATAATGTAACAGGAATATTGAAAAAATAACCGTGGTTAGTCCTTTGAGAGTGCACGAAAATTACAGAATTTCAAGTTTTTAGCTTTACTGAAATTTTAGAAAAAAATAAAAACCCAATTTTAGTCACCACCTCTTAAGGGTGATATCTCGAAAAGGTGTGGGCTGAGAAAATTTTATTATAGAAAACACCCATCTTAATTTCATACGAGCAATCACCTCCTGAAATTTGTCCCATGAATTTTGAAACACCCTGTATGTTGGCATATTAAGGTGAATTCAGCAGACTTTATAATTTTCGGACAAGGATATTTTAAAAAGTAATTTTGTTTAAAAATTGAAATTTTGGCAAAATAAATAAGGTAATATTAACTAGATATACCTATATTTTAAAGTTTTAATTCCTTTCAGTTTCCGGGAAAAAATCAAATATGATAATGAAAATTAATGCATTCTTCAACAGCACTATTCTTATTATAATCCTGAAATTTAAACTCTTAATGTCTTGGTAATTATTTTTTTAAAATTCGCTAAAATTAGTGGCTAAAACGCCTCGTTATGTGCTGCCTTCGGGTGTAACGCGCTTGTAACTATCGTATCGTACACTCTGTCATTATTCGTTTCTTGCAACGATTTACACCAGATTACATCAGAAGATAGCACTTAACGAAGCGTTTTAGCCACTAATTTTGGCGAATTTTAAGATATCATTAACAAGACATTAGGAGCTTAAATTTGGGGATTATATTAAGAATAGTGCTGTCGAGGAATGCATTTATTTTCATTATGATATTTCAAAATTAAAGCCCTCTTAGTTTTTTCGGAAACTGGAAGAAATTAAAACAGAATATATGCATATTATATATATTATTGCCTAATTTATTTTGCCAAAATTTAAATATTTTGAGATATTCTTGTCCGAAAATTATAAGGGGTATGATCACCTTAAGATTGAAAGACAATTAGCTTTAATTCATGAGATGCAAAGCATCATAATTGTCGCGTCACAAAAACCACCTGCTGCCAAGAGAAAATTTTGATTCAACAGTATTGTATATTTTGTATTTTTTTAATTCAATAATCTATGTGAAAAAAAAAATTTTATATACTTTAAAAAACTGTTACATCAATATACTTATTTAATTGTACTTATATTTGTTGTCCCTTTAATAAAATAAATACAATTTACCTATCTCCAATTCATCACTTTCCGTATCCATATACCTAGGGTCCGATTACAATTAGAAGAACACTGCTACGTCATAACTTTAATTTTGAATTTCTAATATACAGAGTGTCCCGAAATTAGACGGTCATATTTTAACAGCGTAATCTACATCCTATAAGTATTAGAAATTAAAAATTAAAAAAAAACGGAATTCAAAAACGTGCAGATGCCGTCACCACATCTTAACCAAATTTATATGGGATCACCCCTGAGGTACCCCCTTACTACCAAAAAAAGAATCATATAAATCGGACAAGGTGGTAAAACATTATTGCTAAACATACATAAAAAATGAAGAGTTTGGGGATTTTCTCATGGGCCCAATTATTAGATTTTAACCAAATTTATATGGAACCACACCTGTCTAATAAAAAAAGAATCATTGAAATCGGACACCGTGTTAAAGAATTATCGCTGAACACACATAAAAAAAATTACAAAAATATTGCGACGAATTGAGAACCTCCTCCTTTTTTGAAGTCGGTTAAAAATAGGAGTAAAAGTTTATATAAACATAGGTCCGAAAACGTTTCGTTTTCGAGATACAGGGTGTTACAAGTGAAGTCCAGATGGAACATGTTTGTAAATATTTTCTAAAATTTCTTTAGTTACCGGTTTTTCAAAGTTAAAAAAAAAATAAAATTTCTGATTCTTCAGACCTACTAATTATTGTTTACACTTTCGAATAAGGTAACATGCTTTTCTCTTGAAAATGGCGCGTCCTAACGAGATGCAACAAATGTAGATTTATTATAGAGAAAATATTGGTTTTCTAAATTTTATGGTCAAAAAATCTGATGTGTCCAACACATGACTTTCCTATCTAGTTATTATAGGCTTTTTCTGGTTATTTTGTACAACCTATTGCAGCACCTCTATAAATGTTTAGAGGATAAACTAAATATATACATTTTCCACATACATTTACCTCGAAACATTTTTCCTACAATTTTTACATCACGGTCCATTTTAGAAAAATCATGTAAAAACAAAAATTATAGAGATCGATATCGCAAACAACTTTTAGTTCAACAATTTTCATAAAAATCAGAATTTTGCACATTTTGTCAAATTTCTCGAATACGGAATATTTCAGGAAATTTTGACATAAAACAAAAATTATAGATAATAATATTAGAAGTAACTTTTATTTGAATAATTTTCTTCTCCAAACATAAATAACAGATATATTCCATAAAATATAAAAACGGCCTCCCATAAAGTACCCCCCCCCCCCCAGATGTTCCGACTCTATTCAAAATATAATCAGTTCATTGAACGCTGAAATAAAGCTTAAGTTTAAAATTTAGTGTTTTTCTGTGTATCGGTTCATGAGTTATGGTGGATACAGACACACAGACACACACGGCAATTTTACCCTAAGCTCCCCCTAATTTACCCACCTAAGAAGATGATCAAAAACTGGGATTAAGTCCAATAAATGAAGCGTAAAAAGGTATTTGTACCAAATTTTACCAAATTGTCTTTAAACGTTTAGAAAATATTTACAAAAGTGTGGTATCAGGACTTACCTTCAACACCTTGTATCTCGGAAAAGAAAAGTTTTCGGACCTATGTTTATATAAACTTACTACTATTTTAGGATGTAGATTACGCTGTTAAAATATGACCGTCTAATTTCGGGACACCCTGTATATCATCTATATAACTATCAATAAATAAAAAATATTTGAGTTGTTTGGTTTAAAAATACTATTCCTACATTCCTATAATATTAACAAGCCATTAAACCCCCAGTAGGCGGCGATAGCCAAGGAATTACTTCGCCAATTGATGACATACCTGTGTTCATGTAATTGTAATCGGACCCTACCCAATATGATTATTCTTCAGTGCACGACACACAACATTGCCAAATTTATGTAGCGAACAATGTTCCAAATACTTTAAGGAGAAGTCGTGAGATCCGTGCGGTGTGACGTCAGAACGGACTGGATTGCTCTTAAGGATGGAACATTACGACTACATAGAGAAACAAGGAGGTGATATTTTTTGTTTTTCAAAGGAAAAAACTTGTTCTTGAAATAAAGGTTTTTGAAATATGTCTATTTCTTTTTCATCATATATTTGTTTTTACATCTCAAAATAATACTTATAGAAATTGAATCATAGGTATGCACCAAAAATTTGAGATGAACATTTCGTGAGAACTACCCCGATACGAATCTTGAAAATATATTAAAAAAGAACTATTTTTTAATGTTTAAAGTAACAATTATCTCCTTTTGGCAGTCATATTCTCAAATTTAATTAATTATAAAGTTGCATTCCTACGAATCATCACAGTTCTCTTTCACAGTAAAAATAGTAATTATATCTACATGTTTAATCAAAGGAACTTTAACCAAAAAACTTTTGTGTTCAGTCCTTACTGTCTAAATCATTTTCGAACTTCTTTTTTTTGATAAGTTGTGATTTAACATCACCTCCACCTCCCGCAGTTATTACCGGCTGTACAGAAAATCTTTCACTATCCGATACAACAAACGAGTTCCTAGCGGATCTGCAAGGCGAATATGGTGGGGGAGGCGCACTTAAAAGATTTTCGACTACAGGCGTCATTGAGAATCTTCTAGATTTTTTTATGACACTGGTAGTAGGCAACAAAGAACTTCTTCTACTCGCTAAATTAGGTATAATGGACGCCTTTCTTGAGTAATATTTAGGTGGAGTCAAAGAACCCATTCCTATTTTTCTACGTGGCTTAGTCTCACAATCGTCCTCTAAAGTTATAGCACTTAAAGCTCTAATAAAGTCTGCAATTGAAGTCTGTTCCAGTACACTTGGATTGGTACTCTGACTGGGTTCAAATGAGTTATTATATATACTTAAATTACGCTGATTAGGCGTACTAGGCCGATCTAAAGCCTGTTTTTCAATATCTGCATCTCGATCTCCCTTTCTTAATTTGTTGGTTACTGTGCGTTGAAATCTTTGGAGAACAGATAATTTTTCTACTTTTTCTGTACTAGGTAAAACTGACATTGCCCTATTTCTTTTCTGTCTGAATGCTTTAAGAGCCTTTGACGCATCATTTCCGTACCATGTATTTAATGATTGTTCATTTTGGTATTGATCAGGAGGATTAACATCACTAAGAGCTCTACGTCTTTGAGGTATCACTACAAGGGATTCGTAACGTTCAGAATCTAATATGTGGTCATCAGAGAATCCCTGTACTCCACCATTATCCAATGATATTCCGGATGCTAAGCTAAGAGCATCTACAACTTTAAGCAGAAGATCTTTTTGACGCATTAATGCATCGGAAGGTCTAAAGGTTCGTTCTTTGTCTATTTTGTCTAATTCAGATTCTGATTGTCTGCGTTCCATTACGCTGTATTTGTAACATTCTGACATGGCACGTTTTCGAGCCATTGAAGGAGAGTTTTTGTTCCTCCATATTGTAAAATCTGGACACGATTGGCTTCGCTCCAAAGAGTGTGGAGTATATTCAAATTCGCCTTTGTATATCGGTTTTACTCTCAAGAATAAAAATTCGTGTAAAATACTTCTGAATTCGTTTCTAATTTTTAGTGGCGTTCTTTTAACTGTGTCAGCAAGTATTTTTTCTATTTGTGCTATTTTTCGACTACGCATGCCCTGTGTGATAAATCCAATAATCATAAGGACGTAGCCCAAACCTCCGATGACCCATATAAGGAGGAATATATGGTAGCCGAGAAAAACTGTTGGATGAAATCCATGATAATTGATAGGACCTGAAATAAATAATTGGATTAGAAATAAAATTGATAAATTTTGCGAAGACGCTCTTAAAAATATATTTTTTTTACAAAACCAACATTTTAGGTTTTAGGAAGGAGAGCATTTTTCAAATATACCACCGGAAACCCCATATATTAACGTTTTTTTTTTTAATTGTGTATTAAAGGCTTATGAGGATCATTAAGTGATCATTTATGTAAATCTGTTCATTTAAATTTGTAATTAAATCTGTCATGCTCTGTCAATACACATATGCGCGGTGTTGCCAAGCGTCTAATTAAAATCAACGAAAAAGAAATATAAAAAAATACCTTATTTTTGATATAATATTTGATATATATATTTATATAATATATGGAGTTATAATTGTAGCAGTTGCAGTTATAATCTTATACCTATATGGGAGGTGTAAGAAGAAGTTTGAAAAGAAGATTCGAAGAGAAATTACGGCTAGCCAAGAATTAGTGTAGAAGAAAAAGTGATGGTTTAAAGTGAAACAAAAAATTATAATGTGCGTTTAAGTGTAATGCCGGTTTGTAACGAACTAAAATACTTGCTAGAAGAATTAAGAGTATTTTATAGGAACTTAAATAAAGACCCAATAGATAGGACACATATAGAAAGCGTCGAACGTTAGATAGTTAAATTAAATAAGCTTAAAAAAGATTTTGATAATTTAAAACTGTAAGTAAATAATGTTACTTTTAAAGGTAAATACAAACAAGAAATTTTAACTTCGGCAGATTCAATTCAAAAGTATTTTAAAACTATTGCTGATATTTTACAAGATAGATTAGTAAATGCCACTAAAGGCAATAACTCAGATTCACCTTTAAGTTCAGAAGAAGAAAACATGACAGAAAAATTTGATTTGAAAACTGCCACAGGTTTGATTCCTGTTATGAACGGAAATGAAAATGTAACAAAAAGTCTAATAGATAACATTGAATTATACGACTCAATATTAGATGCAAATAGTAAAAAACTTTTAACTAGTTTTGTTTTAAAGACACGTCTTTCAGAAAATGCCAAAATTAGGTTAAAACAAAATTATGACACTAATAAGGATTTAATTTCTGATTTGAGAGTACATTTCATTACTAAAAAGTCAGTTTCAACTTTATCAAACCAATTACATAATGCTTAACAACATGGAAAATCAATTGATAGTTTCGGTAGATATGTAGAAGAACTATTAGTTAATTTAACGATTAGTGAAGCCGATGGCAATATAGATTCAATAAAAACTTTAAAAGAAGTAAATGAAAAAATTGCAATCCATGCATTTGCGAATAGTTTGGAAACTAACGATTTAAAAACTATAGTTTAAGCTAGAAATTATACTAAACTTAGTGATGCTATTCAGGGTGCACAAGATGAAGAAATACCCAAACACAAAATGTTTTTTTATAAAAAGTCATGATTCCTCAAGAAAAAATCAATATAATAATAATATACGTAACAATAATATTAATTTAAATTTTAATCATTTTGGCAGAAACACATAAAAATGTTTAATTACCTCGTCCTCTAGTATTAAAAATAATACTAGAGGACGAGGTAATTACTCAAATTAAAGAGGTAATCAAAGAGGCAATCAAAGATGTAATCAAAGAGGTAATCAAAGAGGTAATTTTAACACTCGGCCTAATTTTAATAATAATTATCGTGGAAATAATAGTCATCGAAATTATTTCGTAAGAGACAAAAATGAAAACCAGCAAGAAAATGAACCATCTACGTTACAAACGTTTTTTCGTGCCTAAATATAGTAAAATTTTTTAGTTTATAGAGTAAATGGATTAAATTTTGTTGAATTTAATTACAATGGATTGAAACTAAAATTTTTGTTAGACACGGGTTCCTCGGTCAGTTTAATATTTTTAAAATACATAAAAATGAAATTATAGATGACAAGAAGAAGGTAGAAATTTATGGAGTAACTGGGTCAACGGTATCACAGCTGACATTACTTTACATGTAAACAATGAAAAAAAATATCTCATACATTTTTGCTAATGGACGAATTTGACGAATCTATGCACGGTATCATAGGTTCAGATTTATTTAATAAATATTCTGCTTGTATAGACTATGAAACATTTTTATTTACTTTCTGGGTTGACGCTTTAAACATTTAACTTTGAATGCAATCTAAACATTTATCTAATATGTTAATTCCGCCAAGATGTGAAATAATTAAATTTTGTCATACTGACATTAAAGATGAGAGTATTGTGTTATCAGACCAATTATGCGACGGCGTTTTTGTAGCTGGAATTTTAGTTAAACCTGATGATTGTAATAGAATTCCTGTTAAAATTTTAAATATTAGAAATGAAGCCGTAAATCTTAAAAATTTTGTACCAAAAGTAGAAAAATTAGATAATTACAATTTAGGTAAAATTCAAAACGGAGATAACTTATCGGTAAATCGGGCTGATTCATTGTTAAACTGTTTAAAATTAAATTATTTGCATAGCGAGGAAAAAAGTACAATTGAAAAGCTTTGTGTTAAATATTCTAATATTTTTCATTTAGAAAATAATCCCTTAACTGTTACAAATATTTATAAATCAGATATACCTTTAAAAAACTCAATCAGTTTTTGTTAAGCCTTATCTGCTACCCTTTGCCCAAAAACTGGAAATTTTATATTTGGGACACACTATTTCGGCAGAAGGAGTTTCACCAGATACTAGGAAAACCGAAGTTATAAAAAATTATCCTGTCCCCAAAGACTCCAATAAAACAAAAATATTTGTAGCCTTTGCTAATTATTATAGGAAGTTTGTTAAAATTTTTGCAGATATTGCTAATCCTTTAAATAAATTAATTATAAAAGGGGTATTATTTGAATGGACCTCAGAATGTCAAAAATCCTTTGAAATTTTAAAACTTGCCCTACAAAATCCACGTATATTATAGTTTCCAAATTTTTCAGAAAATAATTGTTTTATCCTAAAAACCGATGAATCCGGTTATGCTATTGGTGCAGTTTTGTCTAATGGAAATGATAAACCTATTGCATATGCCAGTAGAGTATTAAACAAAAGTAAGAAAAATTATAGCACGATTGAAAAGGAACTTTTAAGTATATGTATTCTAGACACTTTGTTATTTATAGTGACCATCGTCCGCTTTTGTATCTTTTTGGAATGACAAACCCGTCTTACTAAATTTAGACTATTACTTGGGGAATACGACTTTACCATAAAATACATTAAAGGTAAAAATAATGTAGTAGCAGACGCTTTGTCCCGAATCGAATTATCTTCTGATGATTTAAAGAATATAAAGCCAAATATTACAGAAACTACGTTTATGGTAACTAGAACACAGGCAAAGCTGGCAAATAAAAATATTGTTGGTTGTTTTGATTCTAATCTAGAGAAAAGGACTGATCACCCTGGACTCGTAGAATTATTAAGACGACCAAAGTATTCTTTTCAACTTTGTCCAATATTAAAACAAGATTTTGATGAATTAACAAAAAATAAAAAGTATGAATATAAAATAGGGAATTTAATCTTAATTAAAAATTCGCGAATTATTTACATAGAACAGGATACTCCATCATCGTTAGACTTAGGTACTACGTTGAGAGACCTAAAAACAATATGTAATAAATTTAATATTCCGGAATTAATTATAGTAAAAGATGAGAAACGCATGTACTTATTGAATGAACTCATTAAATTCCCAGAGGAAATAAAGAAATTTGATTTGAAAATATTAATGGTAAAATGTAATAAAAAATTTTTGAATTAGAAAGAAGGCAAATAATATTAAATGACTATCATTTGTTACCTACGGGAGGCCATGCCGGAATAAATTGTATGTTTAATAATATAAAGAAAATGTATTTGCGGCCAGGCTTGCGGTATGACGTAGAAAATTTTGTGAAAAAATGTGACGATTGTTAACGGTACAAGCATTTACAGCGAAATATTGAGCCACTAAAAATTACTACCACAGCTAAATCTGCTCTTCAAAAAATAAATTTAGATTTCATGGGTCCTTTAGATGATAATAAATACATTTTAATTTTACAATGCGAATTAAGTCAATTTGTTGAATGCTATGCTATTAAAAATAAAGAATCTTATACAGTAGCAAAATCATTTGTTGAAAATTATATTTTACGATATGGGATTCCAAATAAAATAGTAACGGATAAAGGCACCGAATTTTTGACATACATTTTAGAAGAAACATGTAAACTTTTAAATATCAAACATTTAAACTCAACCGCTTATCATCACAAAACTTTAGGAGCCTATTTACGCGTGCAGGTATCGAAACAACCAAATTCGTTGAGTTCATGGGTTCCCTATTGGAGTTTTTCTTACAATAATACCGTACATACAGAAACCAAATATACACCACATGAACTTGTATTTGGAAAAACTGCTAACTTGCCATCTAATTTAACTGATCAAGTTGATCCTATTTATAACTTTAATGATTACCCTGTAGAATTAAAATACATAATTCAAACAGCTTATAATGAGGCAAGAAATAATTTAATGTTATCAAAAGACAAAAGAAAGAAAACTTATGACAAGAAAAGTAAAATTGTAAATTATAGAATAGGTGATAAGGTCTTATAAAAAAAACGATGCTGGGACTAAGTTAGAACCATTATTTAAGGGTCCATATATTATTGTTGAACAAAAAACAAAAGTCCCCAAATGTAGTTATTAATGTTAATAATAAATGTATAGAAGTTCATAAAAATAGAATTAAATTATATCATGAATAATAAATGTCAAAAAAAAAAAATGTTTATAGACGTCTAAACATTTTTTCTCGCCCTGTGGAGGTGTAATGATATTTATTATTTTACATATGTGAACGGCTATGTACGCCGCTGACCGTAAATATCACAAGTTGATGTTATGCTTCTCTGGAATAATGCTGAGATGAAGAAAAGATGACTTTATTATTTTAAGATATTATCGTAGACGGGAACACTTGAAAAAGGGACGCATACCTGATTCTCGTTGAGACAATTTGTATTGATATGTTTTCACTCGTTTAGTGGCCGTTAAGTCTTGCTTAAATTGGTTATCGGTGTTTTATTTTCTTTATTTAAAAATTCAACCCAGAGAAATAGTTTACACATATTTTATAGTTGAATAGTTATAAGTATATTTCATAATTTCCTGTATTAGTGTATCGACAATTAAATAATTCAACTCTAGTGTTATTGACTTTAAGGACTGTCTACTCAGCAATAACCCGGTTGTTACATGATGTACGTTGTGCGCTGATATATCAAAAAGGATATATAGAATGTAGAAACCAGAATGGATTGATGTATTGAGTTGGCATGCATAAAGTATGCGAATAAATTGGGATTTTATATAAAATGAGTTTTAATTGTAAGACCCTGTATATTTTCCAATAATTCTAATATTTGTGTTAGCTTGTTTTACGAATAACTGCAAAATAATTTCACACTTCAGTCAGGTAGAAAAAAAAGGTTATCGATCTGTTTCGCTTGGACCGTAAATTCTTGTAATGTTTCACTTTGACAAAATAGGGCCTGAGGGTTACGCTGAAGTGAAATTTGAATTCATTCGAGTTTTGGGTCCTATTAAGAATAGTTAGTTAAAATATTCGATATTGAGATAACTTTTATTGCGAGTGCTGTGGTTGTGGTAATCTACGAGAAGAGGGTGAGTTTTCTCACAGAGTATATTCATTATTGCTTGTTTACTTTTACCAATTTATTATTATTATTAATATTCAAATTATCTGTTGTAAGAGATATGTTAATTACCGCTTGTTGACTGTTTTGCCTGTATGTTGTCATGACAATTGTTTTGTTTATTCTTGTTGATACCTTGAGCAGGTCTGGGACCATTGCATGTCTCTTTATGGTATATAACAAGACTCTGTGTCTGGAGGGGACCCTCGCGTTTTGGTGTCCATTGCACTCCTCAGTACAGGGTGTTATTGTCAAGTGATCTAAATCAGAGGTTATTACTGTTTATTGTTTTGTGTAGCAAGTTTGCTACGGTATTGAGTGAGTACTGTATTACTCATTGCACAACTCAATACGTTTGTTTAGGCACTTTGGATGGGTGTTTCGCGTTTAATGCCCATTGCACATTCATTGTAGTACGTTGTCGTTACTGGAACAGTTTAACAATCGAGAAAGCATTTTATTTTAGCAATCAAATTGATATTTACGCCTAAGCACATCAAAATTATTTATTTCAATTCAATTACTTAGTATTCACAATTTAAAGAAGTTTGTTATGTCAATTGTTTCTTCTTAAGATTAATTGTTTATTATCTTGGCTTAACTTTAAGTAAGGCATGTTTTATGGAATGAGTATGCTCAGAAGCGTTTCTTATTTACAGGTATGCCATTGACCATCATGAATCGGAGTCACCCAGTTGCCCAGTTATTTACAAGTGGTTAATTATTTTTGTTTGTATTATTTTTTTTTTATTTTTTTTTGTATTTTTCCTTTTCTAATAATTTCAATTAATGAAAATCATTTTAAGTACCGCTCTGGGATTTTTGTTCCTATAGATTTTTCAGAAGTGGGATAACCACTGGGCGAAACTCGATTTCTTGATGGTCTTGGTAGAGATTTAGAAATTGCAATTAATATTTATATACATGCATATTTTTTATTATTATTATTATTTTTTTATTTTTATTTTTTTTACTCTCTTAAAGATACTGGTTATTGAATACGTATATATAGGCTGTCTTTGCATTCTTAATCATCATGAGTCGTAAACGAGCGCGTGACACTACACCGTCAGATGATATTAATAACATAGGCAGTACTAGCAGTGGTCAAAACGAGGGTAATGATTTTAGTCGTTTTACTGAAATCATGGCAGAGTTTATGAAAAGTAACACACGTAGACCAGAGACATCTGTTAGGGAAGACGTTATACCCATTTTTAATCCGGAAGATCGAGATCAGGAAATAGAGGGTTGGTGTTTAAAAGTAGATGAACTACGTGAAGTTTTTGGTTGGAGTGAGGAGGCAACAATTTATTTTGCTTTGGGTAGACTACGTGGCTTGGCTGATATTTGGTTTAAGAGTTTACAAACTGTGAAAATGAGTTGGATTGAGTGGAAAGAAAAGTTACTGCAGGCATTTCCTTATCGAAAAGATTTTTGCGATAGTCTAACTGAAATGTTACGTAGGTCTAAGCACCCCGATGAAACTTATTCAAAATATTTTTATGAAAAATGTGCTTTATTGAGTAGATGCAAAATACTGGGAGCTGATGTAGTATCATGTATAATTGGAGGCATTAATGACAACATTGTGAAAACAGGGGCGAAAGCAGGACGACACCAAACTACTGAATCTCTACATGAATTTTTAAACACGATTGGAAATTCTGATACAACGCATAAA